CTATAAACCGAGTATATACCACCTTCTACCTTGGTGTTCTTAGGGGATTAGACTAGTCAGTAGAAAACATGATTCTTCGTGGTAAGCTCTGTGTGTGAGCTAATATTGATTATTTTTCGGGGTAGGACATCAGCAAGTGACTGAAGCCCAACCCTGAATGGCTTAAGCCATGGGAGTTCATTGACTCGCTTGATACAGAAGTGCCAAAGCAAAAACCAGCTGCAGACAGATGTGCAAATTATTTCTTCACATCGCCCTATCCCTCTGCCCCTTCTCTTAACTGATGCCTCTCTCAGGCAACTTCTCACTGATGTTTTCCCTGTCCCCGCCACCACACACACTGGACACAGGCTACTCCCCAAATCAAATGAGAGGTTCTGCTTTCTTAGGGCCCCAAACTCCAATGCCCCACCCACAGCTGTGGTGATATTTTATTTATGCTAAAATGTGGTGATATTTTATTTGTATGTTAATGAATAAAGTTTGCCTGGAGATCAGAGGACACAGATAACCAGCCATAAACAAAAGTCAGGGGGTGGTAGCACACACCCTTCTTCCGATCACATGGCAGGCAGAGTCTCTGTGCGTTCAAGGAGACAGCTAAATGTGATGACACACACCTTTAATCCCAGTACCAACCATAGAGACCTGGAGGTCTGTACAGACGAGCAGTGATGAGGAAATGAGGTAGCTGGGCTAAGAGGCAATGAGAAGGCAGAACAGCAAGGCAATAAAAGTGCAGGTCAGACAGGAAGAAGCTGGTTCTCTTGGGAAGCTACGGCAGTGTGGTGAGCTAAGGTTAGCTGGTGATATCCTATTTCTCTGATCTCTACGGCTTTCACCCCTGTATTTGGCTCTGTGTTTCTTATTTAAAAAGACTGTTTAGAAATTCATCTACACACAACCATGTTTCCATGGACAGGCTTAAGAGAGATGACCAGCCCTAGAGTGTTCCCTGGAGTGTGATTCCTGGCACTCAAGACAGGCAGGCCCATACATATCACATGCTGTGCTGCCCTGCCGAGGAGTAACGATGTGAAAGGTGCCTGGAAGAAGAGGGGAGGAGGCAAATGTAGACACAGAACGTGTGGGTGTGGTACAGAAACATGGCCAACCGACGAACCAGGGTCTTTTGAAGATCCATGTTTGCAAGAAAAATTTCCCTCTTCGTGCTGGAGCTTTGGTGTCATGGGCACTAAGGGAATTCACCACAAGAGCAAGCCCTGGGTTTCCCAAATGCGTTTTACAATAGAACTTAACGGTGGACCTGTTTCAATGGCTTATATTAAAATATATTTTGTCTACAGTCTAACCACCTCCACTGTGGCTGTATTATAGATCATCTCTAAAATGTTCCCCAGACAAACACAACAAGAGTCAATCATTCAGCAGCAGTCCTTGAGCAGAGATTCTGTTCTTACAGTGAACTTGTTCTTCAAAGTAGATTAACCCGATTCGATGTATGTCTGTTTATGTACATACACGGTGGTATAGATGGACAGACAGAGACAGACAGACAGACAGATAATTCCAGCACTCAAGAGGCTGAGGCAGCAGTCATGCAAGTTTGCAGCCAGACTGGGCTACACAGCAAGAATATATGAGTGCTGGGATTAGAGGCAAACACTGCCGTACCTGACCCCCCCCCCCATCACTCCCTGCTGGAACACACCCCCACCTCCATTCTTTCTCAGGCCCACCACCTTCTCCTCTGACAGGCCTCTCACCCTTCCAACATCAGAGAAAATGTGGCTGTGCTAACAGACAAGTGGGCAGAGGATGTGAGTGAAGAGGCTGGTCGATGAGCACGCACATCAATAAGAGCGTGTTGATCGCTGTCCTCATCGATTGCATTCTTCTCAGCATTTGAAGCAGGCAAATAGAGTAAGAGGGGACTCACAGCCAGGGTGAGTGGCAGAAGATATTGGACAAGTAGGCTCAGTGAGCTGGCTTGGCAGTAGGAAGGGCCCACCTGAAGTTCAAGGTTTCAAGGAGCTGGAGGTGTACCTGTAACAGCCTTGCCTAGGGACAGCGGTGATAACTGATCACAGAGCTGTAGGAGGGGCAGGCAGGTAGACTTGGTAAATTTGGATAAAGAATTTGGATTTTATTCCAATGAACCCTTGGGTAAATTTTCAGTACTTCTGGACCACACTAAAATCTTGACACTAGAAGGAAGCAAGAATTAATTCATAAGTGTTCATTAAACTAACAGGTCAAATCTTCTGGTTATTAAGCATCTTTAATTCTTTGAACAGCTCTTAGCATTGTTCCAACCTTCATCTCCAAATTGCTCTTTTCTAGGACTTTGCCCTGTGGATTCAACTCTAAAAGTTGTCTCAATGAGGTGAGGGGCAATTATTCAGTGTGCATCCCCTGGGCAGAGATATCACTATAACCTTATATTTAACATTTGGAATAAATGTAAATATATTTATATTTCATCATATTGGAACAAATATAAGCACACACATTTTACAAATAATTGGAGGTAAAAAGATTACATGTGTACATACGAAGCTTCAATGGGCAAGCCTGACCAGAAATCCATTTCCTTGAGTGTGGAGATTTGTACGAAAGCTAGGATTTCTCTTCAGTGGGTTTTTTTTCTTTCTCTTCCTTGGCATTTTCAGAAAGAGCCCTTTGCCCTCTTCTGAGGATGCTAATTATATCATCATTATCTCAGAAAAAAATTCACAAGCATGATACGCATTCAAAAATCTTGGAATTATAAAATATATTCACATTGGATAGAAAATACATGATTTAAAGATTCTTATTTGATGACTGGTTACATAGGGTTAGGTGGAGAATTTACTGGAATGAAATGTTCACTGTAATATTGATTAAGATGCATGCTTTTTAATTTTATATAATATATCAACATTCCTTTATGAAGCTGCGATGTAGTCAATATAGTATGGCTGGGTAGTTTGTTTAGTGTCTCTGTTAACTTTTTGAAAAAGTATTTTCTGTGATGAACATATATTCTTTTTATGGTGAAACTAAAATTAGACACTATAATTTTTCTTGTGTCTAGAGAAAATTAGTGATTGAAAAATATCCTAGTGCTTTTTTCTCTCAGTAGAGGGGCTACCCACACTTAGGAAATGAATGTGACTTTTCTGGTGGCCACGACAAAATCCCTGTCAATAACAACTTAAAGAAGTGTTTATTCTGGATCACAGTCAGGAGGTGTGGTGGCAGGAACACCAGGTGCCTAGTCACAGCACATCCTCTGCCACGACACAAAAAGGAAGAAATGCTTGTAGGCTAACTCCTTTCTCCATTTTAATTCAGTCTTGAACTCCAGCCCATTGGATTGTGACCCCCAAATTAGGCTCTTTTCTTCTCCATTCAACTTCTCTGGAAATATTGCCTGAACGTGACAGGCAGAATGTCCCTAGGTGGTTCTGAATGCAGTCGAGTGGATGATGAAGATTAGCCCGAGCAGGTAGCATGCCACAGAGCAAGGGTCACCTGTGTCCAGGTGTCATTTCCTGGAGTGTTGGTTGATGGCTGTCTTCCCACAAAACTTTAAACGTGGGGGAGACAGGAAGCAGTTTCCTAAATTTCAATGTATTCAAAAGTAATATGATGAAAAGAAAGAACTGGTTGAGATTTGGGAATAAAATTTAAAGCTGTTTAACTGAGACTCAGATCTTATAAAATGATGCTCTCTCTCTAATTTGTTCAACATTCATGTGGCAAACACATGAGAGTGTATTGCTTATTTGACAAATATTCCCTTACTGTATGCCAGAGCTACCTCTCCCTCCTCCTCCTCCTCCTCCTCCTCCTCCCTTTCTTCCTCCTCCTCCTCCTCTTCCTTCTGTGCATGGCTGTTTTGTCTGCATTCATGTCTGTACACCACTTCTGTGCCTGGTGTCTGAGAAGGTCAAAAGAGGATGTCAGATCTCTAGAATGGAGTTTACACACAGCTGTGAGCCTCCGTGTGAGCGCTAGGAATCGAACCCAGGTCTTCCGGGAGAGCAGCCAGTGTTCTTAACCACTGGGCCATCTCAGCGTTACAGGTGTAGATATTTTTGTTACTTCTTCACAATGCAGAGCGTGTCTCTAATGTAGGAGTTTGATACTTAGACACAGGTGACATGGTTGACCTGAGGTCCCAGAGCCCTTGGGGAAATGGTGACTGTCACACCCCACAGTTAGACTCCCTGTATTTTCAGTCCCCTCAGACTTCCATCAGGCACTGTGCTAGGCTTTTGATTCCAGGTGTTCTAACCATCGGGATGTAGGAAGGTCTGTCCTAGGCTCACTCAGAGTTTTATGGGAAGACACACATCACTCCAAGCAGGACACTAAATAATGAAGTTAAAAAACAACAACAATAACAACAAAAGACCAAACCCCACAAAATCTAGGTAGGTAGGCTGGGAAATGTAGAAAATGTGTGTGCATGGGTTCCAAATGAGGATTTGTGTTTTGGTGAATGAGGGCTGCCTTCTTGAGTCATTCTATTTCCTCACAGCCATTGTCTAGAATGGAGAGGTAGATCCCTTCAGGCCTAAAGGAAGACAGAAAACAGCCAGTGGTATATTCTCTGTTTTGTGTGGATGGCTGGTCTGTGTGAGCCCGTGCGAGGGCCCACAAAGCACTTCTCCCTTGAAAAAGCATCAGAAGACAATTCTCTGAGCCGGAGTGTGTGTAAGATCAGGGTCCCCGTGGCACTCTGCCAATGCTGTCACCAATATGTGCCCTTGAAAGTTGCTGTGGCTTCTTTGGGTGACAGAAGAATGTCCTTACAGCATAAGGTATCATGTGGTTTGAAACTCAATTGGTTTTTGTCAGTACAGGTTTGTGGATTTAAAAAAATATTTTTATTAATTCTTTGAGAATTTTATTCAATGTATTTTGATTATATTCACCCAAGCTCCTCCCCTTAACTCCTCCCAGATCCACCTACACTTCCCTATCCCCACCCCAACTTCATGTCTTTTTTTTTTTTTTTAATTTTTGTTGGTTTGTTCACTCAATAACCCAACAGTTCTGTTCATATCCCTATGGGAATTGGCCATCCACTCAAATGAGGTCAACCCACCAGGAGTCGCATCTTTAAAGAAATACGATTCTTTAAAGATTCTCTCGCAGAAGCCGTTCATAGCTCCTCAGTTGGGGTGGGGGCTCTCGAGCCCTTGCCTGTCTATGCCGGAATGTTGATTGCCTTGATCTTGTGCCGGTCTTGTGCAGGCAACCATAGCTGCTGTGTGTTCACGAGTGCAGTATCCCATGGTCTCCAGAAGACACTATTTCTCTCTGGTCCTCCCTGAACGCCAACTCTGACATTCTTTCTGCTGAGCCTTGGGAAGGGCTGTGGTCTAGATGGCCTGTTGGTGGCTAGGCCACAGCTGCTCATTCTCTGCAATTTGTCCAGGTGTGAATCTCTACATTGACCACTATCCACTGTACAAAGAAACGTCTCTGATGAGATCTGAGAGCTGCAGGAATCTCTAGGTGGAAGACACAAGTTTATGAGATTTGGGTTTCAACTTCACTCTTTTAGTAGAGCAAAGAGAGATAGCTTTAATCAGGAACCAGCCTGGTATAGGGAAAGCAATGTGAACTGCCTAATCCAAATCTTAATTTTTTACAGTTTCTATTTGTATCTGATTTCTTGATCTAGACACATTGAAATAATACATGTGAAACTTTCTTATCACGAAATCCCCTCAAATTAAAAAATAAAACTTAAGTTGATGTGACAAAGTTCTCTCATACAGCCTACCTGCATGGTCAGAAGGCTTCAGAGAATGCCATGTCACACAGCATCTTCCCAGTTGGAGGGACACCAAGTTGGCCTCTCACACACAAGACCAAACTGTAAGCCTGAGCTAAAGGCATAACAAGATAGGAGATGAGGTCCACACCGGCCTCCTGTGGTCTGAAGAACGTGAACTACTTCAGGCTCCTTGGGAGCAATCATCTCAAGATGGCAAGTGGGTTACTCCTAAGCCTCAGACAACTGTGTGTGCCCAAGTGCCACTAAGAGGTCCACACAACTGTCCTCCCTGAGCTTCACATTTGCTCTTTATCACAATCGCATGGGAGCATGGACCATCTGCCTAGCTCTCAACAAATGCCTCAGACTGCTACCCTAATCTACCCCTGCTGGCATCTTCCAGGGAAGATGTGATCTCAGCCCCAACTCATCAGGTATTTAATTTTAAGTAGATGGGAATCTGTACCAAATTTTCTTTGCATCAGATCCCTTTCCCTAAGAATCTGAAATTGGGAACAAAAGAAAATTCATTTCTCCAGGAGAAAATAACTGCTTTCTCAACATTCCTGTCTTCTGTCTAGATGGCATGTCAGATCCAGTTCCTCTGCTTGGGAAGGGAATTGAACGGGACTCAGTAAATGTGAGTCAGCTTTCCACAACCAGAGCAGATACCTGAGATAAGCAATGTGGAGAGATAAAGGGCTGCTGGTACCTCACAGTCTTTGTCCTAATCAGTAGCCTTATTACTTTGAGCTGGTGGCTGGATTTCATAGCGTCACTTTATGGCAGACACATAAGCAGAATGTAACGCCATACTCCGTGGCTTCCTAGCAAAAGAGAAGAGGAAGGGGCTGGAATCCCAGAATGCAGTTCATAGACAAGCTCCTTATACCTTCCTTCTAGACCAGTGGTTCTCAACCTATGGGTCCAGACCCCATTGGGTCATATATCAGATATTTACATTACGGTTCATAACAGTAGCAAAAGTTACCATTATAAAGTATCAACAGAATAATTTTTTACGGCTGGGGGTCCACAGCATGAGGAACTGTATTAAAGAGTCACAGCACCAGGAAAGGTGAGAACCATTGTTCTAAACTCTGCCCCCTAGAGTTCTCACTACCTTCCAGTATCCCTACAAGTGGAAGATCATGCCTTTATCCCATGGGCTTTGGGTGATACTCCACACCCAAACTACAGCATGGGGCCAGGAAGTCTGCATTATGGCGGACACAATCTCATGGATTCAAGGCTGCCTTTGAGGTCTTGGTCTAGTGCTTTCTAAGACCCCATACATTCCTTGCTCCAGAATCCACTGTCTGCCTCTATATCCTCTTACATTTTTCTTTGTTCTCATTTTCTTGGTTGGTTAATATGTTAGAGGCAAGGTTGGGTGCTGAAGAATCTTCGCTGACACCCTTATCTTTAACAAGCAGTGGAAATATTCACCACTCTCAGATACTTACCATCTCTTTGAAAGGAGGCTGCAGTCTATCCCCCCCACATGCCTGGTTATCAATGTGCACGTGGATCACCTGTTCTTATATTTAAGCAGCAATGGCATCAGGCCAGAGGCAAAGAAAGAACCGCATAAAGAAGTTTGAGTTTGAGAGAAAGTAGCAGGCATTTCCTAGAAATAGCTCTGACCCAAACCCAGCCAGAGCAGATTCATCCGGAGGAATTATAAACAGAAATCACACCCTGAGTGCTATAATTAAAATAAACTAGATTTTAGAGGAAATTCTTCGTTGGGAAAAGCAGAGTTTCTGGAGTAGTTCAGTCTTCCTAAGCATTGAGGAAAACAATTATCGAATTTGTGGTTTGCAGACTTTAACCTTTGCAAAACAAACTGATCAACGTAAAAATAAAACTAAAGAACTCTCCACACACACCTCAGGCTGAGAATGTGCTTGTACAGAGGTCATAGGGGTTCAAGAGTGTTCAGTGTTTCCCGTGGAGTCTGGTCTCCACCCAACACATGCCTTTTAAATAATCATCCAATTCAATTCAGCCTTTGTCATTACGCTTTGGTCTTAATACTCTGTATGTTAATATTCTCTGTATCCATATTTCATCTTCCGACCTCTTGTCTGATTGTACTATTTATAGCCAGGGATATGAGTCCCTGATACCTTTAACAGGATTAATATAAAGGAAATGGGCTTTATTAGTTTGGATTTGTTTTATTATCATTCTACAGCTTGATTAGAATGAGAAAGCTAGGAGAGTCTTGTTTGCCTAGCAGAAGTGAAAACAACATAAAACGAAATAAACGGAATCTCAATGTATTATTGATAGAACACAAAGACGTTTCTCCAAAGCTGTATTGTAAGTACAAAGGTCCTTGTACCAGACATAGAGGAGAGCAAAGACACTTTTAATTTATCTTCTCTGAATGCTTTTAGTTGCTTTGCAGACATCTTTAGTTAAGTGAAGGACATAGTCTTCCTTTAAAGGGAATTTAGAGAGGAAAGTACTCAAAATATACCAGACAACTATATTGAAATATTTACCATTTGTTGATTTGGGACATAGACTGAATGACAGATTTCAGCATAATATTTGCAGAGGGAAAAAGAGAATTTTCCATGAGTATCTAGAATGTTATTTTGCTTGGGTGTATGTTAAAAAAAAAACATACATCTGAGAATAATGAAAGTTAATCTTGGACTGGGGGAGAATTCTGAGAATATCAGGATACCCTGTCAACAGAACTTTCCAAGTGATTAGCAGTAAAGCAAAAGGATTGATGATAGCTATACCTCCCCTCAAGGTAACCTTTGCAAAAGTTTGAGCTGTTTTGTAGACTTGCCTAGATGACAAAGGCAGGTGTGACTCTGGATGTGTCATTGAAGCATATATGCAATTGGAAGTACATTTGTATGTGCTTTTCTACCCTTAACTTCTCCAACTCCACAGGTGGATAAATTTAGAGACTTCTTATTGACTTCGAGATGTTCCCTGTAAACATCATTTTCAACAAATTCCTATCATTAATTAAAATTAACAGATGAATAACAGAAGGTGATCAGAAGTTTTCTCTTGGTTTTTCTTTCCTTCCTTCTTTTCCTTGGTTTCTGTGTTTGGGGGATTTGTTTGTTTGCTTGCTTTTGGTTTTGTTTTTTCATCTAGGTTTTGAAGGTCCGAGCAAGCAGAATGGAGGATTTATTCATTAGTTCAATGGAAAGCACATTTAGTAGATAAAGCCAACTAACACTGATGCTATTCTATTTGTTTAACAAAGGTTTGCTGTGCAAGGGAACCATTTTAAAGGTGGAGGAGCAGCTAACTGTGGTCATAGAGGCCTGAAATCCTACCACTTAGGAGGCTGAAATGGGAAGATTACAAGTTCAAGGCCAGCCTGTGTTACAGAGAGAGACCCTTTCTCAAAACAATGAAAAAAGGAAGGGAGGGAAGGAATGAGAGAGGGAGAAAGGGAAGGAGGGAGGGAGGGAGGGAGAGAAGGAGGGAAAGAAGGAGGGAGGGAGAAAGGGAGGCAGACTAATGAATACTATAGAATATTTTTAAAGTATGTTTATTTTATGAAGGCATTCAGAGAATATAAGGTCCAAAAATTGTCATTTTACTGAGATAGAACAGGGCATTCTGGACATGAAAATACCTAGTTATTCATAATCGTCTAGAAATAAAGAAAGGGTATCCTTGATAATCACACAATCCTGACTCTGAAAGTTTGCCTCTGCCATACAATATCTAGAAGACTGTGTACAGAAGGGTCTCAATTTTCTCATCTATGCAATGAATATCAAAATATTACCTATGAGGATGGGAGGTAGCTCAGACAGTAAAGGAGGATCTACATTTGATCCCCAGGTCCTAGTTAATATTAAACTGGGAGTGGTATTGCATGCTTGTAATTCCAGCACTGGGAAGGTGGAGACAGGTGAATCCCTGGGGCTCACTGGCCTGCCAGCCTAACCTATTTGGTAAGTTCTAGGCTAGTAAGAGAACTAGTCTCAAAATGATGGACAGGGCCTGAGGAACAACGCCCAAGGTCCTTTCCACACATGTGTACACATAGTCACATAAATATGTATACATGCCAACCAAGTGAAATATTATGAGTTAGACATGTAATTCAACTAGCATCCTGTACATATACATATATGATGAATGAAATGTTGCTGATGTTTTGAGTTTTTAACCTCTAGGTTTCTCCAGCTTGGTTGGGGTTGCAAATTTGATCCCTTCATTGTCCCTGGTGTCCTGGCTCAGTCTGCAGTGTATGGAGAATTGAGATTTGTATTGCAAACAATATCAGTGACTCAGATCACTTTTTGGAACTAATTCAACCTCCGTTGGTATCTTCCACTGTATATTATCTTTTCAATTTTATTAAAGTATAACAGAAAAATGAAATCATCTCCAAGAAATACTGATGAATTTGATCTATGTATATACTGTGAAATAATTATCACAATCATGCCAATCAACATTCTACCATTTTGATTAGATACTTTTCATGGAGAAATGCCTGAGATCTACCCTTGGAGTAGATTTCTAATACACAATGGGATGTTTTCAACTATGACTACCGTGCTGGATACTAGCTCTTTACAACTCATTCCAAAACACACTTAACCTGGTTTACTTTTAGTCAAAAATGGTAATGATATATCACACATACCTCACTTTACTTCAGATGGAGCAAAACATAATGATATTAGCTTCAAAATATTTACAGATGGTTAGTATAGGCTAATTGTCAAACCCAGAGATAGTTTCTGTTGGCTGATTCTACCCACTATACCTGCAGGAAGGGAATGGACAGAAATCTATCATAGTTAATGTTAAAATCCTGATTTAAATGGTTTCTAAAGCTTTTTTGGCATGTGTTTCAAATATTTCTCAAAGTGTACTCAAACAGACTTCTACCCTATTCAGAGTCAGACTATTGGTCTAGAGTTCATTTCTCTTGGTTGTTGTTTTTATTGGTCGCCATGATGGTTAACATTGTCAACTTGATGGGATCTGAAATCACCTAGTGGACAAAACCCCAGAGCTTATCTCTGAAGGAGCCTCTAGATTGGAGTGACTGAGGTGGGAAGACCACACTAACTGTAGGCAAATTTAGTCTACTGGCCAAGCTGTAGGACATTTTTTAACTGTATGCCTACCGTGTGCCAAAGATGATGGTTGATGTACTAATGTACAGAATAGTCAAAACATGGTCCCTGGGCTTATTGAATTTAGGGTCTAGTTTTTTAAAGGATTACAGATTCTCCCTTGAAAGAGACTATCTAGATCTGTGCTGTCCAGTATGGACAGAGTGACTGTTTCAATCTAAACCTCTAAAAATGAATTTAAATACAATTTCAGCTCTTCAGCTTCATGAGCATCCTCAGTGCTCAGAATCTTAATGTAGCTGGTAGCCACCATACCAGTCACTTTAGATACAGAATACATCCTTCACCACCCAGTGCCAAGTGTCTGAGAGAAGTGCTAAATAGTGAGCAAGAAAGGGTGTCCATAGAACTCTCCTGCAAGCTGCCCAAACAGTATACACAAGACAAGAAAGGCTGGGAGCTTGTCCTGAGTCACAGGTACAGACTAGGCTTAGAGGCTAAGGAGGAATTATAAGCATTCCTCCACCATTGGGTGCTATTGTGTGGTGGATGAGTGAGCCCCACAAAGTTTCCAAAAAGGAAGGATTTAGCCGGGAACATCTCCCACAGAGAAAAGTTCAATAATATTGTGAAATTATTTTATCCTGACTTGGCCAAACTTCTGTGGCAATTTTGTGATACACATACACACACACACACACACACACACACACACACACACACACACACACACCACAGACACACATGTACAATTTAAATGTATAATTTCAGCTATGCTGAACAATTTACCAGAGTCCAAAGTATTTTGCTTTTGAATTTTGTAAACATTTCAAGATATTTTATGGCCACATCCAAAGTAGATTTTTAGGACTTCCTTCTTTTATTTTTCTCTTTTAAAAAAACCATAAGCACTCATGAATTTGTAGTCTTCCATCCATTTCTTAGAAGGACCTGTTAAACTCATTAACTCTTCTGACAAATGTGCAGCTCCAATGTAATTACACAGTGACAAGAATCCCAGTGACCAAGTTGTATTTAAATTTAATAACCATTGGAGCGGTGTGTGAGTTATTGGGAAGCAGTAGATTATTGGAAAGTAAAAGGAATTTAAAATGAATTGGCAGTGATGGTTGGAATGAAAATCCTAAACACCAGTAACTTGAGATTCGATTTGGATACATTTAGTTGTTACAGGCAATCAATGAGAAATGTGACTGTTTTCGTGCAAAGGCTTGCATATTTTCAAATTTTAAAAATACACATGGGGTGGGACCCTCTAAATATCTATGGCTATAGATCCTCGATTAAAAACTTGAGGAAATACATTTTTGTTTGGGTTCCCTGGCCCCTGGGTGTATTAGTGATTTTTTGTTATTGTTGTTGCTGTGTGGAAACATCACAACCAAGGCAACTTATAGAAGAGTTTATTGGGGTTTATGGTTCTAGCAGGTTAGAGTCCATCGCAGCCGGAAGGCATGGCCCCAAGCTCAGTCATGGCATGGCAGCCGGGGCAGCAAGCTGAGTGAGCACTAACACCTTGAACCATAACCATGAGGCAGAAAGAACAAACTAAGAATGGTAGAGGGTGTTCTCAAAGCCTGCCCTAGTGTGTACTTCATCCAGCAAGGCCACACCACCTCAATCTACAGAAACTGGGGACCAAGCATTCGATTCACTGAGACTATGGGGAACATTTCTCATTGAAACAACCACATTGATCAAAGTTATTTCATCACTTTTCTAAGCTAAATGAGCTTTCTCACACAGATAATGCAGTCACAGTCCCACCTGAAAATGAGCTCTTGGTGATACCTGGGTGCAGGGAACGATGCAGAAATAAGCAAAAGGCTGTTACTCACTGTGGTGGTTTCAAAGAAAATGGCCCCTTATAGACTCAAAAGGAGTAGCACTATTAGGAGGTGTGGCCTTACTGGAGTAGGTGTGGCTTTATTGGAGGAAGTATGCCGCTGGGAAGGTTTTGAGGTCTCAGAAGCTCAAACCAGGCCTAGTGACACACACTCTCTTCCTGCTGCCTGCTGGTCCCGATGTAGAAAGCTCAGCTCCTTCTCCAGCACCATGTCTGCCTGCATGCCACCGTGCTTCCCACCATGATGATAACGGACTAAATCTCCGAAACTGTAAGCCACCACCTCAATTAAATGTTTTCCTTTATAAGAGTTGCCATGGTCATAGTGTCTCTTCAAAGCAGTAGAAACCCTCACTAAGACGCTCCCTCATCATTTTGTTTGGAAGTAGAAGGTTGTGTTCTACTTGCCTCTAGCATGGCAATTTGCTCTAACAAAAGCATCCATGGGAAAGATATTCAAGCCCACAATAAGCATATGCTGAAATTCTAAAGCAGAGTCAGAAGACAATTCCATGCAGATCAGGTTGCAACTTCTCCTGAGTTTTACTGAAATAACCTTGACACACTTTGGGTGTGTTGGTTTGTTTGGAGCTTTGTTTTTTAATGAAAAGTCCATGTGACTTTGTCAATCTAAATTCTCACCCAAGCACTTTAGATAATGCATTAAATATTGCCAGTGTGGACTACGGAATTCTAAATTTCAAAATGTGTCCAGAGGCAATAGTCTTTCCTCAGTAGAGCACTCAGGAGATAGTTCAGTCAGTAATGTTCTACTAGGATAAGCCTAAGGGCCTGCGTTTGATCCCTAGGTCCTTCTGAAATTCAAACTAGTGCTGGGGAAGCGGAGACAAGAGGAGCCCTGGGGCTAACTGGCCAGCTGGGCTAGCTGAACTGGTGAGCTCCAAGCCAATGAGAGAACCTGTCTCAAAAAAAAAAAAAAAAAAAGAACAAGGTGAACAGTTCCTGATGCACTATGCTAGAGGTTGCCCTGCATGAGCATGCATATATGTGTCACTACACATACACACATACACACACACACACACACACACACACACACTAGAGACATGCATTATAGATTTAAACAGCAACACCTGGATGTCTCCTGGAAGCCTCCATCAGCTGTGAGAGGATAGTTTCTCTTGTGTCTGACTGAGGAAAGGTAGGTACATTCTGATGGCTTGCAGTTACAAGTTGCCAGGTCTGAATGCCACCACATGATCTTTTAATCTATTGACTGAATGGTCAACACTAACATGTATGCTTGCTCAAATTCATTTAAACAAGGGTTTAAACTTCTAAAGAGCCAGGTGATAAACATTTTAGCCTTTCTAGATCATATAATCTCTGCCGAAACTACTCAGGCCCGTGACGATAATGCAGGAATAGCCATCTATGCGGTGGCCACGGTGCCAATCTAATAAACTCCTGTGTACAGCTGCTGAAGTCTGAATGTCAGAGAACTTCCATGTGTCGGAAACATTAGCCCCACTTTGATTATTTTTTCCATATCTATTAATATAAAAGCCATTCTTGGCTTGTATGCTGACGAACCACACTCCTGGCTGGAGTCAACCCGTACCCTGCAATTTTCCCACCCTCGCTTTAAAAGTTTTCTTGGAGCAGCTTACAGATTTTTCTTGAAATTTCTTTTACCTTATCATTAATCACCCTGGCAAATATTTTTAGGTGGGAAAAGAAAAAAAAAAAAAAAACCTGCTTAATTATCCAAGTTGTCCCAAGCTGAGTAGAAGGTTTGGATTGAAGCAGTTTCCCACAGTTGGCAGGACCGGAAGTTTGTTGGCCAGCTGTGAGAGGGAAAGGCCTTCGCCCATCTGAGCCTCCTTTCTACGCACACACCTCCCCCCCCCCCCCCCCCGTCACCTTTATACTGACTTATTGACTGGTTTTATCCAGTGTGCTGTAACCCGGAAGTAAGAACACTACATCCGGGAGGGTAGGAAGGTAGAGCATAGGTAAGGCCTTGGGACATTTCAAGAATTCCAGGACAAGAGAGAAATGGGGTCCAGGGAGATAGCGCAGCAGGAAGGGACTCCGACTCCTAAGTCTGATGACCTGAGTTCAATCCCAGGTCTTTCAGTTTGTCCTCTGACCTCTGCTCCATGGCGCGTATACCTCAATACATACACAAACAAACAAACAAACAAATATACATACATACATAAAGTAAAAGAAGGGTAAATGGATAGAATTTTTTTCAGTACCGACAAGAAGTCAGTACTGAAAATGAGGTAAATGCAACTCTAAAGAAAACAAGGGGGGAGGGGGGAGAGAAAAGGTGTGTGTGTGTGGGGAAGACTGATGGGTAGAACTTGCCCAGCATTCCTATATAAAAGGATAAGCATTTTATAAGCAAGAAGAAAGGGAGATAACTATCAAAAATCAGCTCTCTGCTTCTTCCATGTGGATCCAAAGGATGGAATTCAGTGCAGATAGTGTTGGTTGGTGGGAGGTCCCTCACCCTCACCTGCAGCGCCATCCAGCCTGACCCTAGAATTTAAATTCACCTGCAAATTCCAATACCTTCAATTTAGGTTTAGAACCTTGGGTGAGGACTGGATAGCATAATTAATACACTCTTTAGCAATTTTTTACATCGACACGTGCTAAATAAATATATAATATATATGTTTTACGTATATACATTTATCCGCAACAAATTATTTGAGGCTTGTTTGATATGAGTAAATTTCCAGATATTTCGTATGAGCAAACATTAATTTTGATAACCTTCATTTTATGCTTAGTTTAGGGAAGAAGCATTGTTACCAAAGGAAATTCATGTCCATGTCTGGTTCTAACTCATGTCTATTTTACCTTATTGATTTCGTCTCTCAGGAATCTAGAGTTTTACCTCCATCATGGAACATTCTTTTCATTTTGTATCATTCACAAAGTGGATGAGATGACTGTTCTAGGTTGTCTTGTGGCAACCAACGTCAGTGGATGAACACAATAAAAATGTACCTCTCACTTAACTGCCAAGTAGGATGGGCACTCTGTCTCTCAGGTAGTGACCTAGATAACCCAGCCTCTCATCCCAGGTCACCAGCCTTGTAAGTGGGTGGCTGCAGAGGGGGCGTGGCTACAAAGCTGCCAGAAACTCCTAACAGAGTTTGCCCCAGAGGGCAAATCCTCCCAGCCTTACCACTGATTGGCCAGGGGTGCCTAACTTTCCCCACAAAACTGTAAGGAGGCTGGGAATTAGGAGAGAGCAGGAGGCTATATGCTGAAGAGAGAATCTGCCCAGCATGGAGTCCGGCAATACTTAACCCTTAATGTTTTCAGAATGTACTTATAAATGGAAACACATATGTAACTTTCTAAGGTTGGCTTTTTTTCACCCAGAATTTTTTTTTCTGGAAATCATTCCAAGTTGTTGCATGTATTAAGAGTCTGTCTCTTGTTATTACTAAGTAATATTCCACAGTATGGATGTCCCATAGTTCCTGTAACCACTCACTCACTGAAAGATAAACAGACGGTATCCCATTTGGTCTGTTATGAATAAAGCTGCTGTAAACATCTGTGTTTAGGTTTCCTGGGAACACATGTCTTCACTTCTCTGAAACACGTGGTGGGGGAGGGTGAAATTGACAAGTCATGACAGTTTTATGGTTGCTTGCTTTCTTTTTTGTTTTGTTTGGTTTGGGTTTTGGTTTTTAAGAAACTGCCAAGCTTTCCAAAGTGACTGCATTTTACACTACCTTTGAGGGATCAAGTTTCTTCTTGCCAAGGTGCATCATCCCTGGGCTTTGTTTAAGGTCTTCTGATAGCTATCTGATGCTGTTTCTTTTAATGTGTGTTTCTTTACTGGCTAATGATACTATGTATTCTCCTGTACCATCCCATGTATCTTTTCATGAAAAATCCTTTCCTGCCTGTCATCCCTTTTCTTACTATGTTGTTTGAGCTTTAGGGATTATTTTATCATGCTAAGTGACTGTCCTTTGTCAGAAACATAGACCCCAGTGTTTTCTACCTGTCTGTGGCTTGACATATCACCCTCTCATCAGGTCATCTCATAGTGACATCTTCCTCCTTTTAGGATTCATGCTTTTGGTATCTAGAAAGTTTTCGCCTTATATTAGACCCCAAAGATTTTTCTGGGGTCTTTTTTTTCCTGAAGTTTTACAGTGTTAAACTTAAATACATTTTGACTCAATATTTGGGTAAATATTAAGTCTCAGGCGAGAGTTCTCTTTCCGACCTGTGCTTGGTGGCACAGTGTATTGAAGAAGCTGTCGCTCCACCCACCACTGGTTGGTCCTCACATCTCTGTCATCAATTGGGAGCTGTTCTGCTAGAGCCATGCTGAATAGATAGAGCAGGCAAGAGTGAGTGTCCTTCTCTTCTCCCTGGGCTTAAGGCAGACGTCATATCTTCACTGGGATGTATGATGCTGGATCAGGGTTCAGGGGTCTAGTGGGTGCTCTTTATTCTGTTATGATTCTGTGAGACTTTAACTAGGAATGGCTATTGAATTTTGTAAAATATTCTTCCCTAAATCAGTTCAACACCATCATGTGAATATTCTTCCTTGGACCATTAAAATAGTGGACTATACTAACTTTTCACATGGGAAATTTGTCCTTCATTCTTGGAATAAAGTCTGTTTGCTTGTAACTAGCATGTAACTGTTTTATATAGTACTGATTCTGTTTACTAACATTTTGATTTTTAAGTGTTTGTTTAATGTGTATAGGCATTTTGCCTGCATGTATGTCTATGAGCCACATGTGTGCTATGCCCACAGAGGTCATAAAGGGGTGTCAGATCCCCTGGAAGGGAAGTCACAGACAGTTGAGAGCTGCAAGTGCATGCAGGGAATCAAACCTGGTCCTCTAGAAGAGCAGCCAGAGCTCTTAACTGCGAGCCATCTTTCCAGCCACTGTTAGTAATATTTGGATAAGTTTCTGATCAATACTAATGAGAGCAAGTAGTCTCAAGCTGTTCTTTTCTATCTGGTATCTGGGTGGATGTGCATACGTGCTGTCTTTGGTGTTACTGTCAGAGCAACATTAACTTCATGAAATGAATTGAGAAGTGTTTTCTTCATATAACGAATTGAAAGTGTCTTCTGTGTTTTAAGATAGGACTGTGTACTACCGATGACAATCCTTTGAACATCTGGGGAAATTCTGCAGCAAGTCTGGCTGCGGCTGAGGAGTGTTATGTGAGGGACTTTTCCAGTCACAAATTCAACTTCCTTGGTGGTTATGGGCCTAGGACATCTGCTTTGTATTGGGTGAGTTGGGATCACTTGTGTTTGGAGAACCTGGTAAATCTGAATTGCTAAATTGTATACAGTTGTCAATGATATTTTTGATGGTTCCAAAGCCTGGAGTGCTATGCTCCTTCATTCCTGATATTTTTAATTTGTATAGCACACTGTCTTGTAGGTGGAAGTTTCTATCCCACAAGGCACTCCCAAGTAACCACACAGAGGCTTAAGTAAATAAATGCTAGGTCAATATATGGTGGTATTTTATTTGTACTGAAATGTGATTTTCATTGTATGTTAATAAATAAAGTTGCCCAGGGGTCAGAGCTATTAGAGCCATAGCAAGAGCGTGGTGGCGGCAGCGGCGGCGGCGGCGGCGGCGGCGGCCGCGCACGCCTTTAATCCCAGCACTTGGTAGAAGAGCTAGGTAGATCTCTGTGTTTTCAGGGATATAGCCAGCATTGGAGACATACGCCTTTAAGACCTGGAGGGCTGTATTTACAGGCAGTGATGAGGCAGTCATGTGTTTGGGTTTACAACCAATGAGAAGGCAGAACAGAAAGACTATTTAAAGACATACACACAGGAAGTAGCTCTCTTTCGGAGAGGTAGGAGCACCACAGGAGGTAAGATTTTAGCTCTGAGCTCTGACCTCTTGGCTTTCTCTTTTACATTGGTTCTGTGTTTCTTATTTAATAAGATGGTTGGTTACATCTACACCAATAGCTCAAGCTTGTTACTATCTAACTCTTACATTTTCAATTAACTCATACTTTTATCTAAGCTTTGACACATGATTTGACACCTTTTCTCAGTATGACATGCCCATCTTGCTTCTCTCTGTGTCTGCTGGCAACTCATGACTCCACCTTTTTCCTTTCCAGCATAGTCAGTTTTGCTCTCCTGCCTAATCTTATTTGGTTCAGCTATTGGTCAGTCAGTTTCTTTACTAAACCAATCACAGTGATATATATATTCACACAGTATATAGGAATATTCCACATTTCCCACTTTTTGTCTATAAAAAGGAAGATTTTAGCTTTAACATAGTAAAATTATATACAACAAAAATAGTTATCAAGTAAAAATTACAGTTACAATATTTAGTTCATTTGTACTTGGCAAAATTAGAGAAAATATCTATTTTATCTTTGTGACTCTAAAGTTTTATTCCCAATTTATCTTTTATCATAACTAAAGAAATCTTTAACTGTGACTATCTAGCCTTCAACTCTGTCAAAGACCCCAGAAGGGTGAAATGTTATCTAATGACAGAGACATCTGAGTGTCTGGACAGCCACCCAAAGTTCTTCTGTAATGTTGGAGCATCCATTTTTGGCCTTTAGACCTAGAATATCTGACAGACTTTTCTCTGAAGCAGGAAATTTTGAAGGAATGCCCTACTTTGTCTTGAAAAAGTTTGGCATTCTATTTCTTTTGCATCCTGATGGTCCAGTTTGGACAGTATACTATCAGCAATTGAGGCAAATGCAGTTTCTTTGCCAAAATGACTAGCTTTTGCCATAAAGTAAACAAAATCCATATGGAGTTTCTTCGATGTCCATCATCTTCTCTGAAGTAGATTAGTGCTGCCA